TATGGTAAACATGTAACTTCTGTATTATAGATAATTTTTTCTACTGAATCATCCACCAACAGTGTATTTCATGGGTTGTATTGAGGAAACACATTCCAAACATCTTGCAGATCTTTACAGTATGTAACTTCATCTTTTTTTTTTTGCACTTTCCTTGATCCTGTTTATAGAAACAGTCAAACACAAATTTGTAGGAATCATAAACAAACAGAAGTAAGCAACGCAAAATGACATGCATCTTATCCAAATGAATATAAAGTGGTCACACAATAAAGGTAGTTTGTCAAGTGCACGATCAATGTTATGGCTGAGATTGTTAACAATTTCTAAGATTAACATCCAACTGTAAATTTTCCATTTATCTATAGTAATTCAACTGCTTAATAGTGCTTACCTCAACTTGGAAGACCAAATGGAAACAACAAAGTTTTCTAAACAAAAATAAAGAAATTCATATACACATGGTCTTAGTATAACATCTACAACATGAACAAAATGACATTAAAATTGTACGCTTATAGATTAAAATGATGTATAGAAATAAACAAATTTTCTTGTCGGTGGTGTTGCAGATACCATATATTTGTTTGGATCTTTATCCTCATCATCCTCATCTATGATGTCATCCTCTTCATTAGCACTTGGTTGTCCACCACTGTTATAATAAAAGAAAATAAATTTTACAACATGAAAATACTTAGAACATAAAGAATGAATTACCTAACTCGTATGATGTTGTTTACTAAATTCGTTACGCAAGTTGGAGACTTCATCACAAAATGATGAAATATGGGCTTGTATTTTCCCGAATTGGTTATTAATGCCCCCCACACGAGAATTAAAATGCTCCCAAAAATTAACCATTTACTTCATCACTAACTTCATTGTAATATCTTCTTCAGCCCTAGCATCTTCCATCGTAGCGTCTTCCATAAGTTATTGGTCGTCATTGTCAATGTGGTCCAACTGCTCTTTCTCTTGTCCTACTCCAATGTCATCTTTTTTACTCTAACTGACATTTTCAATAAATTAGTATCCGACTTTAGTCATGGATAACATGCCAATCTTCCGGGATAATTGAACAGGGTAGTCAAGCAAAAAATCCACTTCATTCTTCTTCAACAGGTGCGTAATGACATATCCATATGCAGTGAAGTTGTAATAGATTCACCCTTTCTGACTAAATTAAAAAGTGTCTCAAATATAAGTTGTGCAATGTTTGGAGTGGTTTTTGAGCTATACTTCACTAACCACCAATAATCAATATCTCGAATTACGAAAAATTTTCCATAAAACGAATAAATCGAGTGAACATTTTGTGTAACACTCTAGCCTCCACATTTAGGTGAATGGGGCTATTTCACATATTTATTTTAGGATCTAAATTAGTTTAATTGGAATCCCCATTTATTCTCCAAACATATACCCATGGTAATAGATTCCGGATATATATATATCCTTCCCCATTACATGAGTATTAATTCCGATAATATTGTTCCTACTAGGGTCACGGTGGAATGAATCATTATTGTAGAACACTCGAACAAGCTTTGGGAAATATTTTGGTTACACACCAAGAAATTAAGCCAACCTCAATCTGTAAATATATGTTTAAAATCAAATTTATATTTTTCATCAAACATTAAATCCATGTCAATAACACGTTCGGGACGAATCTTTCTTGCTTTGAAATGATGATAAAATTTTTCTTTCTCTTCATTGGTTCTAAAGTTTTTTGTATCAAACGAACTGATTTGGTCAAAAGCTCTTACTTGAAAAGAAGATCTTGGTTGTGAAGATGACCTTGGTTGAGAAGAAGGTTTTGGTTGAGAAGAACTGTGTCTCAGACATTTTGGAGCCACTTTTAGGAGTGAATATAGAGGTTGTCACATGGAACACAAGCACATTAAGGAAAAACAATATATTCTCTAAATAACTAAAACCCTAATTTAGGGCAAAATATGAATATTTTTTTACCGTTTACATTGTCAATTTACCTATTACTTTAAAGTAATAGGTTTTGAAATTATAAGTATCGATACTTATGATACGTGTATTGATACTTTCTGCGGTCATGTTGTTTGAGAAGCATATTGGACTAAAAGTATGGATACCTATACAAAGAGTATCGATACTTTATGTTTATGCCTATTATCATTAGACCAATAGCCTTTTACCTTTGACATTGTAAATAACCTATAACTTTAAAGTAATTAGTTTCAAAATTATAGGTATCAATACTTGTTATACATGTATCAATACTTTGTACGTGCAAATTGTTGAGAAGCATACTAGACTAAAAGTATTGATACCTATACAAAGAGTATCAATACTTTATGTTTACGCCTATTATCATTAAACCGATAGATTTTTACCGTTTTCATTGTAAAATTATCTATTACTTTAAAGTAATCGGTTTCAAAAATATAGATATCTATACTTATAATATGTGTATCGATACTTTCTGCGTGCATGTTTTTTGAGAAGCATACTGGACTAAAAGTATCGATACTATATGTTTATGCCTATTGTCATTAACCCGGTAGACTTTTACCGTTGACATTGTAAATTTACCTATAACTTTAAAGTAATCGGTTTCGAAATTATAAGTATTGATACTTGTTATACATATATCAATACTTTGTGCGTGCAAATTGTTGAGAAGCATATTGGACAAAAGTGTCGATACCTATACAAAGAGTATCGATACTTTATGTTTCGTTTATTATCATTAAGCCGATAGATTTTTACCATTTTCATTGTAAAGTTACCTATTACTTTAAAGTAATAGGTTTCAAAATTATAAGTACTGATACTTATTATACTTGTTACAATGGAATAAAATTAGCAATACTTATATAAAAAGTATTGAAATTGGACATTTTCATACTTTGCATACATTGTTTTGAAATTATAAAAATTGATACTTTAATAATGTGTATCGATATAATTACAAAAAGTATACATACTTACAGAAAAATGTGTATAAAATTATAATAAAAGTATCGATACGTCCAGTTTAATTTATTGAATTTGGTACTTATTAATTGCACAAACCTAAATATGTCCTAAGAAATAAATGTGTACCCACCCTTCAACTACCACCTCCTAATATAATTGAAAGCACCACTGAATCATGTTGTTTTATGAACCTCTACTTCAACTTCTAACATCAAAATTGAATATATACTCCTGTTGGGACCACTGAACTTTCCTAAAAACAATTATCAATACATCTCTCCTTTTACTTTGATTGTGGCTTATGAGACCATTTAATATTCTCATACGATGCTAATCTCCAACAACCTATATTCAAATTGTCAGTATGTTAACCACACATAATTCAATCTATGAATTTTAACATTTTAATCGCAAAGTAATTTTTCAATCTACTTACCAAATCATCCGTTGACCCTCTAGTAACGATCCCTTCCATCCACATCATCACATAAACTCCGCAATCATGTCTGTTAAAAAAATTGAATACCACAAATGTCAAATATGAAACCCTTATAAATTGCACATCCAATTTATACTAACATTACATACCCATTCAATTTCACATTCATTTTATGCTCCACAATTTTGTAATCTTTCAATGGGACCTTCAGCTGCCCACATGCATTTATAAATATATTTTCCTTATTATATTTATCTGATACAATCATCTACTTGAAAAAATATCAAGTTATATTACAAACAAATTATGCATTATGCATTATTGTTTCCTTTCATACATACCAATTTCCTCGCATCTTGCACTCTCTTTTTGGCCCTTAGCGTTGTAAATAGACTATCATAAACCGTTGCAACACGAGAAACCATATCCAACACCAACAAATACCAATAGGTCTGATTGTCGTTTATTGTAATAAATATCTACAATAAATGCCACACCCAATTTAACAAAATACAACATTTCTTTATAAATATTTAAATACAAAACACTATTTGCAAATCATATGGTATCTTACCGTGTCACAATTGGTTAATTTCGAATATCTTTCAATATACACTCCCAAAAGCTCGCAACATGGTCAACACTTGGCCTATGTTCTAACGCCATATTCTCCATTTCCTCGACAATCATTATTAATTGACCATCCATAACACTAATTTTCAAAATTTATTAATTTAACTCTCCGCTAAGTTGATGGAAGGTAGCCAATTTGAAAGCTTCCAAGGTATATTCTTCGAATTGTTAACCAACACCCAACTAACCAAATCAATAATGTAATACCCCAAAAATTTAGACAATGACCAAAAATGAAAATTTTGAAAGTTTGATGGTCAAAGTATAAAACTTGGGAAAAGTTTAGGGAATTAAGTGATAATTTCCTAAAAAGAATTTTATTCCATAACTAGATGGTTTAATCTTGAGAGTGGGGTTTTATAGAAATCACATTTATGGATTTGTAATTTTAGTAAAGAAAGAGTTAAAGCCGGTAAGGAATCGGTAAATTCTGATCGAATCGGAATATTACAAAAATTTGAAGGATGTTATAAAATGGTTGAAATATTATTGTAATATTTTATATCAGAGAAATTTGGTTTGGAATTGTGCAATTTTTCAGATTAAACCGAAAATGTGAAATTTAGTGACTAAAACGCAAGTTTTGAAAATTTCAGGGCATTTTCGTAGGTCAAAGTCAAATTAAATTATATTTGACTTTCTAATATCAGATGGCTTGGTTTCATGGTGAATAGGAATATTCATTAAGGGTGATTTGGTCTTTTCTCAAGTGAATGAATATTTTATTCTATTATAGTGGAATATAATTCAAACAAAGATGAAATGCACTTAAAATTTCATCTAAGGGTCTGTTTGGAAAGGGGAAAACATTTTAAGGAAAATGTTTTCCCCGTTTTCCTGTGTTTAGTTCCCGTAAAACATCTGGGTCAACGTAAAATATTTTACGGCCAATGAAAAAATGAGAGGAAAACATGGTATTTTAACTTACCGTTTGGAAAAGGTAAGTGTTTTCCAGTTTTCTATCGTCCCTTGCTCCACATAGAAAACACGGCATTTTGTTATCCCGTCCCTTGCTCCACACCGAAAAATCGATCGACTGTTTGGAATTGTCTTCTCAGGTATCTCTCATTTCATCTTTCTCTCCTTGTTTTGGGTAGCTTTCTTCTATGGGTTTATTTGCCTCGGTAGCTGTTTTTTTGGGCTTCCTTTTTCTTTACTAAGTTTTTGGTTTAGAGATTTGGCGTCTGTAAAATTGTTCCAGTTTTTTCGGGTTTTTAGCAATAGCTACTTGATAGTTTTTTTGGGGCTTCCTATTTCTTTACTGAGTTTTTGGTTTAGAGATTTAACGTCTGTAAATGCTTGCATAGGGGTTTACGGGTCCTTTTTTGTTATTATGGTAATATCTGCTCTATTATTGTGCTGTTTTTAGTCTTATGAAATTTTGAATTTTTAAAAAATTAAACCGTATTTTAATTGTGTTAATCCAGAGATTGTTTCTATATTCTATTAGTTCATATGCTATTTGATGAGTTGGTATTAGTTTCCATATGCTTAGCTAAATATGGAAGAAATCAAATTCGAACATGGGATTTTCTTTTATGCTATTCTTTTCCTGGAAGCTGGTTTCTCATCCTTTTGCCTATACTATTCTTACGTTGATTGACATGAATTATATAGTTTACTTCAGCCTCTCCTGGTAATGGTGTTTCACTTATGATGTTTTTTTAGGAGTGTTCTTATGATGTTTTTTTAGGACAAACATGTGAAGGAAATTGTCTTGAAAGCAATGGGGCAGGCAATCAGTAAGACAGTAGCCATTGCAGAGATTTTAAAGGTTTGTTCCTTTATTGATCATCCTTGCATTTTGTTTTCTGTGTTCCATATTTAGATTCATATGACCAAGGAAGGGGTCGTGGTAGAGGCAGAGGGAGAGGGCGGAGTTGGGGCAGGGGTGGATACTCAAACTATGGAAATTATCAAGGTATAGAATATGGATTTGGATAACGTTATGGTAATTGTTGACATTTTTCTTTGCACTTCTACATTTATCAAGTATAAATTTGTATTTTAGTTGGACCATACTTCATACTTCAATTATTTCTTAATAGATAACGGTGGATACTCAAACTGGGGCAGAGGTGGTGGGCGAGGAAGAGGTTGGGGTTATCGTGGTAAGTATACTTTATTCACAGCCTTATTGAAGGAATGGTATTTTTTTTCACTTCGAGAAGTTTCATGTTTGTCATTTATGCGAGTAACCATTGTTAAAATCTTCATACATGCTAAACAAGAATAGTTCATAGATGAATGCCCTTTGTCTTGAAATTGCAAACATCTGTCTTGACTTTCCTTACTCATCAACCAACCTATTGCTATTTTTCACAATACAAATGATGTAGAACATAGATTTCAGAGTAGATCATACAAAAAATTGTCTAGTTTATAATGCCAATTGTGATGAAGTAGAGTTCAAAGGAAATACTCAATGATCATACCGATGATATGTTTAGCTTGGGCCAACAGCTTTTGCTTGTTATGAGCCATGACAGTTATATCTATCAAAGTTAGCTCAATTTGGAGAATATAATCCATTAAAAATGAATCTCAAATTGCTGACTATTACTTGTCCATATTTTTTTGCTTTTTTATTCCGACAGGTGCTGATTATGAAAGAGATAGAGGTGGTGGTGGTGGTGGTGGTAGAGGCTATAGCAGTGGCCGTGGAAGGATGGGCGGTGGTCGATCCAGGGATGGTGGCTACTAAAGCACAATCAAAGGACGCATAAAGCTTGTGTTGTTCCCCCTTTTTAAGCTAGATGCTTGCCTTGGTCGGTGGGAAATTATGGAAGTAGGTGTGTTTATAATAGCGTGAGATTGTGGGTTAAAATCTCAAGCATTATTAAGCAGTGGTTTTGTGTTTCTGCCTGGCATCATATATGGATGAGGGAAATGTTTTTATTTCGCATTTAGCCAAGGCCAAGAGGATGGGTTTATGATTTGTGCTATATTTCAAGTTTATATGTAAATATTTGATTTCTTTATTCCTTTGACCTCTTATCTTGTCTCTTTGCCCAACCAATGCAAAGCTATGTCATAACAAAGGTTACCATGAAAGTTGTGGTTAAAATGTATTGACCTTATGCATTGGAGACCATAAAGCCAACAAAAAAAATCAAGGTATTGATATTAAAAAGAGAGTCAACGTTTTTATTTAAATAAAGGGTATCGATACCAAAACATAATATCAATATCATATTGAGATTCAAAGTCTTTTTAATTGAAAGTATCGATATTAATCTTATAATATCAGTACTGAATGAATAAGTATTGATATTCATAGAATGGTATCGATCGATCACTTAAGATGCTTAAATTGTGCAAGTAGTCATGAAATTTTATATTATTTATGATTTGATCATCAATGTAACTGAAATTGTATGAGATTAATGGTGATGACTTCAAATAATATTTTACTTGCATATTAGTCCTTAAAATCATAATTGCATATTAGTCATGATATTTTTAATCAATTATTAATATTATATAAAATACAGTTTTTATAAAATATAATTATATATAAAAAAATGAACCTTTAAAAATAATAAATAATAAAACATATCCAATATTAACAGCTTCTTTATTAAAAACATATTTTAAAAACTGTTTTCAGGAAAATTACCCAAACAGTGTAAAACATTTTACAATGTACCATCCAAACACTGGAAAATGTTTTCTGGAAAATGATTTTACATTTCTGTAAAACATTTTCCAGATTTCATTTTCCGGAAATTGTTTTCAGTGAAACAAACAGACCCTAAATTTGCTATCTTCTTCTCCAGCCAACGTGGGCTTCTTCAAAGGTAAGAGCAAAGCTTCAATTCTATTTTCAAGTCATTTCTTTAGGATTATGAGTATGATAAAAATAGAAAATAATTATTTGCGAAAAACATTATCTTTTGGTACCAATATTGCATGATAATCTTGCTTGATTCAAATATCCCAAATCTGGAAATTTGGGATTATACAATGGTTTTTGAAATTGATGATGATTATTGATGATTTTGAGGTTGTAAGAATTGATGAAGAACATAAGGATGAGGTTAAAGAAAAACAGTTTAGATTTTGGGAATTACAGTAGGTTCGAAAATTCACCAGAAAATATATAAAAATAATTTGGAGGATATTTTTATATATTGTGTTCATATATGGATATAGTTTCGTTTAATATAAACGGGGATCAATTTCAATTTGTATACAAATATATATGAATTTTTAACTGAGGAAAGGTCAGAAAATTCGGACAGCAGAATTCTGTACAAAACAGATTCTGTTGGTGAACTTTGAAAATTCATCATAAATTGTACAGAATGAATTAGAAGGAGTTATTTATATGGATAGATTCGTATTCGAGTCTAGTTTTTAACGGAAGAAACGGAATTGAATTACAATGTCTATATCAATACAGAATAATGATTCTTTAAGGGTAGTGCGAGTTGTCTGAATTCTGGAAAATTAATGGGTTGTTGTGTAAGTGTTGTATAATTGATGTACTATGCTGGAAATTGTTGTTTGAGAATTGAAATGAGTGTTAGATGTGAAATTGATTATCTTGGGAAGATTGAAATGATTGGTGATTTAAGTACAACAATTGCATAGTTGGGGTACTTAAATGTATTTATGTTTTTGTAAAAGCATTTGAATGGAAATAATTTCAATGTTGGAATTATTGGTATTAAGAATTTAAGTGGTAAAATGGTGAAGACCATTTTGAGTAAATTGGAAAAGTGGGTTCCAATGCTATAAGGAATTATTAAGAGTTAAATATTTTGATAGATGATGAATTTCAAATATAGTATGGAGATATGGTGGAAGTATTTATGTTAGTATAATACTAACATATGGATTATTATGAATTGATGATTTATACAGATTGTGATTGATTTGTAATCGAAGCAAACCAAATATAAAAGGGCTTATGGTGGAGAATAGTGAGGCATATATATTTTGAAAGACATAAAGTGTCAAGTTGAGTGCAATACATGCATGAAATTATACATGGATGTTTTATACATCATAAGGAAGACTTGAGATAAGTCGACCTTGTTTATATCGGCATGATTTTATATCATTTTTTATAAATTGACATTGATATGTCAGAGTATGAAATTAAAATGCATTGATCACTGATTTTGCATATGATTTTACCATGAATATTTCGGGTATGAACTGCCCCATTGTTAAATATTGATAATATACTTTGCCATGGATGAATCAAATAAAATAGACTGTATGCCAAGTCAGTTATTGAGGGACAAGGTATAGTTGGCATGCCATAGAGTCCAGCAGCAGGCTGCATATTCGGGAATACACTAAAGGATACCTAGTGTATATGATGGGCACGACCTTATGTGTCATATTCGGGACTGTACTTAAGGATACCTAGTACAGATGGTGGACACGACCTTATGTGTCATATTCGGGATAGCACTACGGTGCTTATATTTGACTCGTGTACCCAGGGTCCTCAGGGTTGAATATTGGGCTATAGGCTATGGTTTATGGTATATTGCTTAATAAATGGTAAGCATACAAATAAGCTTACGAGCTTTTGGATTAATGGCAAGTATATGGGTAAAATAAGCTTACGAGCTTATGGAATTTAAATGGTAAGTATTTTGGTAAAATAAGCTTACGAGCTTATGGAATTTAAATGGTAAGTATTTTGGTAAAATAAGCTTACGATCTTATGGGATAAATGGTAAGGGATTTTATATTATTTTGATCATGGTAAAATGATTTTATGGAAACTCAATTTTTGACATTGAAAATCATGCATTAATTGTATTGCACTGTTAAATGTTTTAACTGCCTCACTAAGTTTATACTTAGCGTGTGATGATTTTCACGCGTAGGTAAAAAGCCTGTAATGGAATAAAGAGTTCAAAGTGACATCAAGCATCGAGAGGTATATTTCAATATCAGTAAGACATCCCATTGTGAAATTTGATTTTAGATAGTGGCATGTAATTTGAAAATATTCACTTTATTTGTTGAATTAATTTTGGAAATTTTATAGTGATGAAAGGTTAATTTTTATGAATCTATATGTAAATTTTCGAAAGTACTGTAGCGTGAACAATAACCACGGTTTTTAAGCAAAATTTCCAGATTGTTAAAGGGGCACCGATTCCCCTGCTACAGGGAATCGATTCCCCCAATGTTCACTGTTCACTATTCGGGTACTATTCACTATTCATAATTAAAAATATTTTGAATTAAATTATTATAATGAAACGTAATTTATATGATATGATATTTTTATAATATCATTTACTATTTTAAGAAAATAAATTTTAAATCGCTTTTGAATTTTGAAATAGTTTTAGAAAATACGGGTGACATCCGTAATCTGTATAGGTATAAATATACGGGTTACGGGTGTTACAAATAACCTAACAAAATTAATTACCAAATTACATATTCACTAGGTTTTAACAATTTATACTTTCTATTTACTACATCGCTAACCCATGCCATAGGTTTTAACGTTGCAACGTCGGATATTGTGGCATATTGATTTCCCAATTCGATTACAATATCACTGTATAATAAATTTTGATAAATGTTTTATAATGAAATATTTAAATATGACTCACAAAGCAATATATATTACTGACCTCGATGGTAACCCACTATTCCGTATATATTCACACATTCCACTTTCAAATGCACCAATTTCTTTTGGTATATTTACTTTTTCAACCTACAATTTTGATTAGAAATATTAGTCACAACACAATAATACAAATCAAATTCAATTTTGTTTTATTCATCTTAGCTTTTGCTTCTTCTTAGGTGAAGGATATTCTGAATCCAGGGCAGCATCGATTACAATCTCCGGTGTCCGCATAACATTAACATCATTCATCCTCACTGCATCCAACTTTTCTTCTTCATCTTTTTTAAATTTATCATATTTTTTCTCCACATAACTATTCATATCTTTTATTTTAACTCTTATTTTTTCCCTTTCATCGATTTTTTCAACCTCTCCTATCACCCCTTAAATTCACCCATCAATTCCATCACTTCTTTCACCACTCCATCAATTTTTCCACCCACTTCCCCCTTAAGGCTCTCAATTGCCTCTTCGATTCTAGATTATCTTTTCAAACAATCAGAAATGACTTTTTTTAGTTGTGCCAACTCAGACATCAAAATGTCAAATTTACTTGAACTACACTAACCATAATTCTTCCTACTACCTTCTCTTATTCCTTCTCTTCCTCCTCTACCTCCTTGCTAATAACCTTCAAAATTAAATTACAATATTAATACATTTTTATATTCTTAATATTATATAATTACTTTTATTACCCTTTCTTGCTTGTTCGGTCTTTCCAACTTCAATTTTTCCATTACTCGAACTACTTCTTTCTTCCCCCATGCATATATGCGTGCCACTCCAATTCTTTGGAATGCCTACAAATTTTCACAATCAGACAAAATATCAAACAATACAACCTTCATTTTAATGAAATTTATCATTTCTATAATAAATATACTTACAAGTTTTCTAACCCAATACATCCTTCAACTCATTTACCTCTAAGATTGCTATGCACCCTTTAAGGTATGTCGGGCTTCGGCCCTTCTGAAAGCTAATTATTGATTCAATCAATCTGTCATGGACATATTCAGCTCAATTCAGTTCACCTTTCAAGGCTTCATAGTAAATCAACATAGTGCTCGGTCTTTCAGGTTATCCCCATCATAAGCTTCTCTTTTAATTTCCTCCTCAAGTTCAACATATGTCTCCTTGGGCTTTAAATTATATTTCTTAGCAAGTGCTTTCCAGTTCTTTATCTTAATGACTTCTTCAACACTATTGCCTTTATCTTCTACCCCTAATACGAATATAGCACATGGGACCCCCAGTGGAATGAATAATCACCATATTAAACTCCTAATTTTTCTACATCAAATTCCCCCATCAACGATCGACATAATTCCCTCTGAATTGGCCGATCCCTCACTCTGATCAAGATCCAA